ATAAAATAGGCATTTCTGGTTTGACGCAGAGTAAAGAAGAAACTTCCTCTACTTATATATATTGTTAAAGATTTATTTTATTTTTATTGCAGTCAGATATACAGAGAGAAGAGACAGAGAGGAAGATCTTCCCTCCGATGATTCACTCCCCAAGTGGCCGCAACAGCCAGAGCTGCGCTGATCCAAACAGCTGCCCAGAGTGTCTTCCGGGTCTCCCACGCGGGTGCAGGGTCCAGGCTTTGGGCTGTCCTGGACTGCTTTCCCGGGCCACAAGCAGGGAGCTGGATGGGAAGCAGGGCTGCTAGGATTAGAACTGGCGCCCATATGGGATCCCAGCAGGTGCAAGGCAAGGGTTTTAGCCACTAGGCTACTGCACTGGGCCCTCTCTGCTTATATTTTTAAGACTTACTTATTAATGTATTTGAAAGCCAAAATTATGAAGAGAATGGGAGAAAGGAAGAGAGAGAGAGAGAGAGAACAAGAGAAAGAGAGATCTTCAATACGCTGGCTTACCTCCCAAACTGCCACCTTAGTCAGAGCTGGGCCAGATTGACGCCAGGAGTGAGGGGCTTCATCTGTGTCCCCAGTGTGGGTGCAGTGTCCAAACTATCTGAGCAATCTTCCTCTGTTTTCACAGGCACAGTGGCAGGCAGGTGACTCAAAAGGTAGAATGGCAGGGACTCGGACACTGGTGCTCTAGGCGGTCGTGTAACCAGGAGCACCACAGCACAGGCCCCTATACTCACCTCTAACTACAACACAAATTTATTTCAATTCATGTGCCTGGGAGTCTATGGTAGCTGAGTCATTAAAGAAAGAGAAAAGTCTAGAAAAAAGAAAAAAAGAATGGGCAAAAGCCTATCTGTTCCTTCTTCTGCCCTTGGATCAGAGCTTGGCAAGAGCTTTTGAAACTGTAATGAAAACTATTTGTGTCTCTGTGGATAACGAAGCCACAGACGAGGAGATGAGTGGCCCGAAGCAGGGAGTGTGGCCTTGCTTCCGACTCTGAGTAGATCCTAGCCACCTTGGCACCATGGGGATAGAAAGGGAGTGTTAGTGACAGGGCCATGGCCGCTGCAACCTTGGGATTCTCAAGATAAGTGGAGCTTTTCAGAGCAACTTTATAGGGGCAGAGAGACAACTAATGGAAATCAGAGTAAAAGAGAAAGAAGGAAGTGTGATGTGACATGGATAACAGATGTCTGGGCACATACACGGTCCTCCTGTGAGGCCAATGCAGGGAACTCCCCTCTTTACCTGAGTACAGCTAATTATAGAACACACATGGGTGTGACAGTGATGTCACACTGAGAGTGAGGATCAGCTCGGCAAGGTTCTATTTTTAGCTCAGACTCCAATGTGAATTTACTCTTCTGCCCAAAATAAGCTTCCAAATCCTTTCTATGAACCAAGAATACAGGGCATCGACATGCTGAGAAAATGCCTCATTTGTAATAGCTGAAACATGTGCACAGAAAATTCCAATCAAGTTGGTAAGCCAACAGGCAGCAACCCCACGCCCCAACGTGGCAAGCATTCACATCTGGCAGAACTTACCAAAAGGGCAAAGACCCTTGTATAGACATCATTGATAAAGGCTCCTTACATAAAGACTGTCTCCAAAACAAGTTGCTAAATCTGAACAAAGGGAATTCCGGGGATTACAAAGATGTATCTCAAAGCAAGATGCTAATGATATGCAGATCATACATCTCAGAAGAGACAGAAATGTGGAACACGCAGCATCGGGGTAAGGAAAGAGCCTTGAAAACTGACTGTATGGTTTGGATTCCAGCTCTGCTATCTTTCATCTATGTGGTCTCAGAAAACCACTTAAGCTTTGAGAGCAATAGTTTCTCAGTCTGAAAAAAAAAAAATAGATGCAGTTGTATCTACCTCATGGTTTGCTGTGGAAACTAAATAATCTATCTGAACAGTGCCTACAAATAAGAAGTACCAGAAGTCGTTGCTTTTATTAAATATTGGTTAAAAGCAAACTCAAGATTGAATCATTTCAAACATCATCTCTGAATGAGGAAAATGGCTTTAAATGGTAGCATGATTTCCTGTGTCTTTCCTCCTTAGTGTATTGGATCAAAAATAAATACAAGATTGTATGTGATTTATGCCTTGGTAATTATCAGCTAGTTCCAAAATTCCGCGTGTTAAGTGAATCAGTTCAGTCGAGGGGAACCGCTGAAGGAGATACACTTTGGTGCAGCCATTGCTGTCTCAGAGGCTGCCTGTTAGAACAGCTCACAAAAACACCGACATCATAATACCCACCACACAGCATCTCCTGAAGCCAGGGCAAGCACCTCAACCAACGTCTGTGTCTGGATGGCTGAAACTAACACACTGCCTGGTATTTGAAAAAGGCTGCTGGTTTTAACTCCAGTTGTTCAACAAATTAAAAAACGTATAAGTATGTAGGGAATATTGCAACAAAATCAAAAGGATTTCATTCTTCTCCATTTCACATATGAAAAGAATTGATGTAGATTTTAAAATTTGCCATATTCCCCATTTAGATATTTTGGCTGAAATACAAGTTAAATTATACACCTGCGTGTTTGGGATGTGTAAGTACATGGGAGCTGTTTGAAAGAACAAGAATGCCAGGACAGGATTTTGGAAAATCTTAATTTTTCAGTCATGCTTGGCACGGGTCTTGATTTTTTTATTCCACAGGCTTAGAATGTGCCCACAGGTGAGATGTATTTTTGACAAGGGTGTTAGGGTTAGTGTCTTCTGTCATTCCTTCCCCCGTCCCTGGCATATTTGACTTTTCTTTCAGTATACAAAGTCAGTCTAGTAATCTTCAGGAAAGCAGTCACAAGATCAGAAATATTTGCTAAGTGCAATCAGATTTAATTCATAATAAAATACTTACTGCTCCAGTTATGTCTAGCTATTAAAAACTACCACAAACTTGGTCTAAAACAATGAACATCATTTATTATTATTATCATCATCTTTCACAGCTCTAAATGTGCACAGGGATTAGTAATGTTGCTTTCTGGCAGACTTTTCCCATTCAGGTTCTATGGTACAGTATTTTCATTTTGATTTGCTGTTGTTTTTTGAGAGGAAAACAGAACACTCTCACTGGATAAGTCATTCCCAAAAGGTCTGCAATGGTGGGGAAAGCCACAGAATCCAGGTCTCTCACGTAGGCTGCACAGACCTGCCTGCTTAAGCAAGCCTCACTGCCTCTCTGTGTCGGGACACAGGTGCCTCTGTCAGTGTCTTAACAGGCCAATACCTGCCCCCAGATTCCTTTACAATAGCCTTAGGATGTAGTGTGCCTGTAAATTAATCCTCATACTACTGAAGAAATTGTTACTGGCTTGGTTGGCCATCAGTATTTGCTGAACGCACAAAAATGCACTGAAAACAAGAAATCTGTCAGACTAATCACACAAGAGCCCAGCTCCAGCTCCAGGTCTGGGAGAAGCAGCCCAACTATGAAGAAATTGATATAATCCTTAAAGGTAAAAAATGGCCTCCAATATGAAGAATTAAAATGGTTTTGCATCAAATCAGAGGACATAAGGTAATCAGAGGACAATGAAACAAAATTTGAATAAGATCAGTGTTGAATTCAGAAAATAACCTGAGACTGAAACATCAAATAAATATTGAATGGGGAAAAATAAAACAGTACATCCATGGGAGCATCAGTGATATTCAAACACATCAATAAAGATGAGAATCAGCCTCCAAATAATGAGCTTCTCCCCAGAAAGGAAGGATAATGAACACTTTTAGAAAATTCCTTCAAATTACAGTATTTGAGAATAAATAAATAGAATAAATAAAAATACATCAACAGAGATCAATTTAAAGATTTGATCAAAAGAAAACGTAGTTTTAAAGAGTAAGATTACATCTCACAACATCCACGTGATAATAGTCTTTAAGAAAAAGTGTTTTATAACCAGACAAGTTGATAATTTAACACTTAAAAAAATATAATTTCAGATCTCTAACATTTATTTATTTTGTTTGGGAAGCCAGATTTACAAGTAAACGGAAATACAGAGAGAAAGACCTCCCATTCTCAGGTTTACTCTCCAAATGATCTCAATTGCCAGAGCTGAGTCGATCTGAAGCCAGGAGCTTCTTCTGGTCTCACATGCAGGAGCAGAGTTTCAAGGCTTTGACCCATCCTCTGCTACTTTTCCAGGCCACAGAGCGCTTGATAGAAACTGAAGCATGTAGAATATGAACTGATGCCTTTAGGGCACACCAGTGCCTGTAGGTGGAGGATTAGCCAATAATTTTTTTAAACAACATTATATAATTTCTAGGAAGGATGGAGTAAATAAGTCTAAGTGATAATAATAAAGGGTATCAGGATATGTTTACAAAATTCAGATGCGCTAAGGTCAGACGTACATCCTAGCTTTAAGATTCTGCTTGAGATACTCTGTTCCACATTGGAATACCTGGTTCTGGCTTCGTAATTCAGCTCTCTGGTTATACAGACCCTCAAAGGAGGATGGCTCAAGTAAATGGATTCCTGCTACCCACATGGGAGACCAGGAAGGAGTTCCTGAGTTCCAGATGTGGCTCTGGCCCAGACCCTATATTCACCCTCTCTGTCTCTCTCTCTCTCTCTCTCTCTCTCCCTTCTTCTCCGCTTCCCCACCCCCCGCCTTCTGACTCTCAGCTTCTCAGAAAACTAAGTGTTTTGAAAAGACACTAGGGATAAATTACACTGAGTTAAAAAACAGCACACAATGTTTCATTGAATCCAGGTAGTCTGTCGAACATATTAACAGTCGAATGGATACATTCCAGCAAAAATAGACATATTGCCATAAACATACAATTAAAACAAAAGGACTTAAATCAGTATAAAAGTACAACTTGCTAGTAGAAAATACGAATAGTGTAAATGTAGCAGTATTGAGCCTTTACTCAAGGGAAAACTATTACAAATAAAAGCGAAACCTGAAAAAGATCAATGATTGTTCAAATATAAAAATTATCCTGTGCTCACTTCAGCAGCATATATACTAAAATTGGAACGATGTAGAGAAGATTAGCATGGGCCCTGCGAGCAAGGATGACACACAAATTTGGTGAAGTGTTCTCACATTTTTAGACAATCCCAAAAGGTTAGATAACACATGTTTGCTTTAATTTAACATGAAATGATGTCAATCTGAAAAACAGTACCTGTAAACTGTAATTCTCATGCAATAAGATATTGTGATGTAACCAATGAACCAACAATCAATGTCAGACTGCTTATGGTCTACATCAAAACATTGTAAAACCTAATATACTTTTTCCTAAAAAAAATTTATTTGTGTTTTTATTTTTGTTTGCTTGTTTTTTTTTTTTTACAAGGACAGATATACAGAGAGGAGGAGAGACAGAGAGGAAGATCTTCCATCCAATGATTCACTCCCCAAGTGACCGCAATGGCCAATGCTACACCGACCCGAAGCTGAGAACCAGGAAACTCTTTTGGGTCTCCCACGCGGGTGCAGGGTCCCATTTGGGCCGTCCTCTGCTGCTTTTCCAGGCCACAGACAGGGAGCTGTATGGGAAGTGGAGTAGCCGGGATTGGAGCCGGGGCCCATATGGGATCCTGGCACATAAAGGGAGAGGGCTTTAGATACTGGGCCATGCTGCAGGGCCCGACCTAATATACTTTTAAGACCCTATGCTACTCGGAAATGGGGCAGGAGAGCAGAGGAATCTTCCATCTCCTTAGAATGTGTGAGGGAGACGGGAAGTATAACCTATCAGGAACATAACAGGTAAATCATATACAACAGATTCAAATCAGCATTAGACAATAGTAAAACTACAAAGACACACAGGGGAAATCAAGAGCAATCTTGACAACCACTTAACAGGAGGTCATATGCACAGAGCATAGGAGACCCCAGATGGAGCAGGGGGACAGGAGGAGGCTTTTATCCCAGCCCTAGAGACTCCCGGATCCTCACCAAGGACTATCAGTACGGGCACCAAGGACTACATCCCAATTGCCAAACAGACCACAGGGAATTGGAGTGCTTTCGGAGGCCGAGAACTCTGAGGTCATTCACCCCGTTTGGATCTACCACACAGGGTGGAAGCAGCCTAAATTCTTGCTCGCAGGATACAAGGTCATCAGAATAACAGCCAGAAACCCTGAACGGTCTGCAGAAAAAGAACAGTAAACTTCCTTTGGGACTAGGGAGAGGAGCTTTCTCTGGTCCTTACTTAGTTCCAACTTTGGATCCCCACCATCTCTTGCAATGACCATCAGGGTTGCTCTGGAGTGCCCCCACCCACCCCCCCAAAACACACACACACACACACACACACACACACAAATTAGAGAGAGAACAAGGAAAGCTTAGAACCAGATAGGAAACGGTCAGTGTGGACTCATAAATAACTTACTAGGTAGGACACGAAGATTAGTTACTCCTCACTAAGGTATTAAAAATTTCTCTGCACACCCCTCCTAAAACTGTTATGAACCTCAATTGTTGACATATGCCTTGTTAAAGTTATAATCCAGTTTAGACTATCATAAAATCTGCCAAGTTCAGCAAAATTATGCTTCAACACTATAAACTGCTAAATACTAAAATGAAAATAGACACGAGACAGCTGAATAGTACCCTATAGCCACTTCAAGGTGTATAGCAGCCGGTTCTGTGTATAAACTAAAATTGAAATGTCAATGAAGTAGTCACAGGATGTGGTTAAAAGCCTGCATTTTTTAACATATTGGTTACTCAATACCATGTCAATTAAATCCATAATGTTGTAAATTGTCGTTGATGTTATGTTGTGGCTTTTAATTGATTGGGATGATATTCTGCCAGCTCTGCCTTCAGACCAGAGATAGTCTCCCCAAGTAACCGTTGAATTTAACTGGACAATAAGATGCTGCACCCTATGCTTGGTATATGCTTGCAATAAAAGAATCTTGACTGAATCTGATATGTAATACAGCAACAAGGTGGAGGAATCTACATGGGGGGAGGGTATGGGGAGAGACTGGGGGACCCCCAGAGCCTTTGAAACTGTGTCACATAATGCAATGTAAATAATTAAAAATATATATATTGTAAAAAATTATTTTTCCTTTTAGAGATTTTTATGCTCCAGAGGAATGTTAATTATATACCAATTGGGATCGAAGCAGTGTTATTCAAGACATGACTTTCTATATGCAATTTCAGAAATATGAATTATAAATGTTCATCCCTGTCTCTATACAATAGTTTTTTTGTTTCATAAAAATTTGCAAAGATTATTTGTTTAGGGTCTTCATTGTGTGACAGCAATCTTTGAGTAATGAAGGAACATATAATTTCCTTAATATAAATTGTTTCTTTTCCATTGTGAGAATAGTAATACTGTCTTTAACAGACATACTGGAAGAGCACTCATCAATTTTTGAGCTCACAGACTGATTTCTCATGTTAGTTGTTGCTAATGTCGCTGTGTCCTTTCTCTGCTGTACCAGAAGCCCGTGGAAATGCTGAGATGTCTTAGCATTGGTTATTAAGGCAATGTCCCTTTTTTTCCTCTACATTAATAATGTTTAACATTTTAATCATCTAAGTAACATTGACTTCTGAAAAATTCTAGGCAGTAAGCGAACAGGATATTTTTATGGAAATAAGGAACTCGCATAACATAGGCTTGACTTCCAAGCTGAAGGTGAAGCCAATTTCATGACTTTTTGTTCTACAAGGTCAGGAACTTACAGTAAAACCAAGTGTTAATTTTAAGGAAACATTAAGCCTGTTTATGAATTTGGACGAAAGCTAGGCAAGATTTGGTGGTTTGTGCAGAATTAAACTGTATTTTCAAGATGAGTTAAAAGAAAACATTCTTTGGGAACTCATTTCATTCTGTGTGTACACGAGACCTAAGCCAAACAAAGCAACCTGTCCAAAGTCAACGCGGGATGAGGCTGTCAGATTTCACAGTTTTGATTGTCAATGCAACCATTTATCAGTCAGAGAACTTCATGAATTTGGCATTTTTCATAGTTCCAATTTACTCTAAATAGGAATTAAACATCAGTACAGAAAATGAAACATTTATGGGCAAATTCAGTCCAAATATTTAACTGATTTATATGGAGAATAAACATCATACACACACACACATTAAATAGATTGGAGATGATTGCCAGGTAGATGACGGACAGAGGGCAGCAAAGATGTAGAAGCAGAGTATGCACATATATAGATACAGGTGTATATATAATCACTGGAAATTAGTTTCTAAGGCGATAAAACAAACAAGGTTATACTGTGTTTTTAGTGAAACTGAGGACAAGGTCCAAGAACATCATCTTTGGAATCATACAACAACCTTACTAAACAACCATGATTCTATATTATGGATAAAAATAAAACATTAAAAACTGAAGTACGAGAATTCAAGGACTTTTGCAAGAAGTAGCAAAGATGGGTAGTAAAAAGTGGTACTGTAAACTGCAGATTCTTGTTTTTGTAACATTTAACTTTGGAGCAGTCTGTAATTCTACTCCTTTAGTAAGAGCCATGGAATTATGAAATCACCAGCCTAGCCCAAGAATATCTTCTTTTGACTCACTTGAAATGAAATAGCATTTGAATGCAGCACAGAACTAAGTTTAAGAAGCAAATTAATGGACAAGAAGAAAGTGCACCTTAGAAATTAAAATATTACACATGAAGTTAGCTCCAAAGACCAAAGGAAGGGGAGCGTGCAGAAAACCCAACTTAAGTCTTGAAAGAGAATGACTAGACTGCTTTACAGAAAATATAACAATTTTCTTAAAATTTAATGTGTGCTATTCTAACACTAAAATGAAAAAGAAATAAAACTGGATAAAAGGTTAATGTTATATTCAAATTTAATCAAACTTATTTTACATTATATGCCAACCTCTGTCAATGAAATAATAAAACCCACAAAAACTTGTAAAATGTTTCATTTTCTGTCATGATAAAATTGCTTTCCATTATGTCACCAAGTGGATATTGTGAGCCACATGCATTTTACTGAAAAAACAATCTTCAGTTAGAAAAAGCAAACAGATGGTAAAGTTTTAATAATATTTTCAGATATACTATTTTCTCTAAGTAACTCTGAATCGCAAGATTTTGTTGACAATAAAAAATGCAACATAAGACAGCAAAATTTCCACATAGAAGTAACTTTAATGGTTTCTCAATCAAATTTAAAAATCTCTTCCAATTACTTGGACATTTAAAGTCTCAACACAGAAAAATCCTGTGAATACTTAGAAGGAAGTGAGCTTTAAGAAGAGAAAGATCATGGTAACATTTTATTCAGTTTCCTGCATTTATTCAGTCAATTACTTTTTTTGCAATGTAACGGAAACATTCAATAAAATACATAACATTACATTAAAATGATAAAATTTGCAACCATTACTGACTGAACCAATGTTAATCTTACAAATAAAATTTGAGTTTCTGTTTGCAAACTATAGAACAATGAAATAAACTGATTAGATGAAGAATGTCACATACTAAAACTATATCTGTTTTTATATTATTGAATACAATGTTTAAGTCTATAAGTTTGTTGGAAAATTTCATGTGAAAGCACTTCCTTTAGGATGAAAGGAAGCACGGAGAGGGAGAAGACCACTGAAGCAAACTGAAGATCCAGCCATTGTAGGATGAGGAAGAAGCAGTCAGCAGGGCTACACTCGGATGTTCTAGAAGTTCCCTTATGCCAAAGGAAACGCATTTCCCAGGCAGTGCAAAGATACTGGTATTCAGACTTTGATGTTTGTAAATATGGTGGTTCCTTTTTATGCCAATTTTCTTTTTTAAAGATTTTTCTGTTTGTGTATTACTTGTAAGGTACAAGACAGATTTTCCATCCCGTTGTAGAAACCCCACAAGGCCACAAGAGCCAGGGGTCAGTCAAGTCAAAGCAAGTTGCCCTGACCTCTGGGGCTCCACGAGTGTTGCAAGGGCATAGGAACTTGAACCATCTTTCCCTGCTTTTCCAGGAGCATTATTAGGGAGCTAGAATGGAAACCAAGCAGCTGGAATTCAAATTAGTGGCAAATGATGGATTAACTCTCAATGTCTCAACACTGACCCTAACATT